AACCTTACCTTCTGTGAGACAAGAGGTAATGACAGCATTCAAGCCTCATAAATAAAACTATGCAGGCTTGAAGGTAAACTCTTAATTTACAGTACGTTAGCTTGGAAGTAAATTATTAGCTAACAAAACATTAGCTAGGAAGTAAACTCCTAGTTTACAGTACGTTAGATTGGAAGTAAATTCACGTAAAATTCTGACGTTATGTAGAAAAGAAATACTGAAAAGAAAAACTCCCTACTAATAGTGAATAAACCAGTTACTAACATTTATTCTATTGTATTATGTACCACTACCAAATAAAAGTATTTTCAGCAACTTCCAGGCTCACAGTAATATCAGGGAAGTTGCTGAATGCTAACTATTCGCTGTTGTCTGACTGCAGCTAACGGGTTATCTAATTATTGTTTTAACTGAAAATACAGCAAGATTTTCCTCCAGAAATTGTCTTTGTAGTTGCTTATGAATTGAGAAGTGGTAAAATGGTTATGTTTGATCAGATACTCTTATTTATACTGCTTGTAACTTGTACTATGGAATATAGCAGTAAGACATTGTAACAGCATTTTATATTTTCACCCTGAAAGTGACTTCAGAGGAAATTAGCTGCTGTGTGAATGTGGTCAGTTGCATCGGACACAGAAGGCATTTTTCAAACATCTCTCTCTTGTTATCCAGACTAAAGAGTTCATAAACGCCGATCTGCTGGCCCAGCTGTACTCGTGCGGCGACCAAAACACACTGATGGAGGAGTCTCAGGAGCAGGCCCAGCACCGTGACGAGATGCTGAGGATGTACCATGCCCTGCGAGAGGCCCTTAATATCATAGGTGACATCAGCACAACTACTGTAACCACGTCCATGCCGCCCCCTGTGGATGACTCCTGGCTGCAGGTGCAGCGCGGCAGTTCTGGAGGAAGGTAAGACCCAACAGACAGGAGAAGAGCAACAGCTGGTGGGCAAAGATGGCTGTGTTTTAAACCTTAAAGTTGCCTTTCATTAAGGTTAATATAGTGCAACATGAATCTCTAATCTCTCTGCTTACCTGTGCCTTTCCTGTCTTCTCCACCAGGTCTCCAGCCACCAGCCCTACTCCCAACCGCCGAGCTCCTCCGGGACCTCCAGGCCGCCCGGTCTCTCGTGGTCCTCCACCTGGCCCTCCTCCTGCCGGGGGGCCCCCTGTACCTTCTCGCCCAGGGGCTTCTCCAGACCCTTTCAGCGGGCCGCCACCCACTGTACCCTCCCGGCCTAACCGTGGGCCCCCAAGTGTCCCCAGGTGAGTGAACACATGGGTGATATACAAGTGCTTCTTACGGTACAGGGACTTTAAAAATCCAAACCACAGTTTACGATATTAAAAAAAAGATATCCAGCCTGAAGTGTGGATATTTCTGTTACTAAGGGGGATGTGAAGACACCTGGATGAGGGGATAAAGGAGGTAAATGGCAGTGGAAGAAACTGGTTTTGATAGATGAATAGAAGACTAGTTTGAGCGATTCCCTGATAGATTGATAGATCGTGATGTTGTTTATACTTTATGGGTTTTTTTTCCTCTTTTCCTATTGGTCTTGGCAAATTTTTTCTTTGCCTATCTGCCACCATTTTAAACTCTCAACATGCTGTCAAGCATCATCAATGATAGCTAACACGTCACTCATTGTCATCGCTTACACCCACCCAACCACTGTCCTCTTTTCACCAGAATGAGCAAAGTGGCTCTGTACTAAAAAAGACTGGGGTTTCTATTCACCATTAATATCTTCCTTTTCACCTGTTTTATGTGCTTTACGCTTGCCTGTGTTTGTGCTCTAGCTAACTTCTTTTTATTCCTCAATTCACTGTCAGAGTAGTAGCTTGGAGACTTGGAAGTTGCCGAGCTCAGCCCTCACTGGCGGATATAAGACTTAAAAAATCCTCTCAAAGTTCTCAATTACAATCCTCAGAAGTGAATGTTTCGATGTATTTTGATCCATCAAAAGTGAGCGCTGAACCCGTGTAACATTGGCTTTTTTTCCTGCACTGTAACTGTTGCACTCCTCTTCTCTTCTCCTCCTCTACATCCCTCTTTTCCTCACCACACCTCTGTCCCACACATGACTATTGTTCCTTCTACAGAATCACTATCACTGACCAATGAGGACTAACTTTTCGGGTACGTGGGGTTACTGTCAGTCACCATCGTCATAACCAACATCATCTTTCTCTTCCTTCTTTTTGCGGCATGCCAATTTCTTTTTCTTAATTTTTCGTTTCTCCTCAGAGTGCTGCATGGGCAAACACACACCCAGCTCAGAGGATGTGTGTTTGCATCAGTGTTTAAGCCTTTGGGGGTTGATGCTAATTCATTTCTTTATTCAAGGGGAATCAGTGTGTCAGAATGTGTCTGTGTCTCACAAACAAGGATTTTTCTCATACATCAGGGGTAATGGGTTAGACAGGGGTCAACTAAACCATTTAAAACGTTATTATGGTGGTTGTGTGAGTGTTACATGTAATGTATGTGAGCCATGTTATTCCAACCATCCCTGAAATGGTCCTGGAGTAACTGATATGGTGTCTGTCAATGTCATTGTTCAGTGGAGCTTAGCGATTGTGCGGCAGTTAACAAACTTCTTTCCAGGGAATACATGTTTAGTAGATAAATTGGTTCATTTTGGGGATTATGTTTCACTGGCTTTGAGATCTTAAATCTCAGGACTGGTCAACTGAAATGTGTTGCTTCATGCTAAGCTAAGTAAACTTTACTAATGTTAGCTAATGTTCCACCGCTGCCCTTCAGGTTAAACAATTATAAGGTTAACGCTATTGCTTCCTTATTCAAGAAGAGCGCAAAATGCATTTGATGAAGTAAATAAAGGAGTTTTCTTTCTTTAATGTATAACCGACATGTTTGATAACTCACGAGCTACCTAAAGCTAACGTTAGCGCTCAACCACTTGCACCTAATCTTGCACATTGACAGTTTTACGCAGTGCAATAGGAAAGGCCTAAATACCTGGCTGACGATAATGCGAGCTAGCAAAGAGCATTTGTTAGCTAGCAAATCAAGAAATTACCTATCTTATGGTATGTTAGCTAGTTTATGGTAATAAGAGTTAGCTAATAGATGTTAGCCAACAAAAGTAATAGGTTGAATGCCAATGGAGTTTTTTGTGTGGCACTTTTAGGGAAGCAACTACTGAAACCTAAATCTCAGCCTTCAAACCCTGTGAGGTTTGGTGAATATTGTAAATGGTGGTCGCTTATTTCAGTTGTACAGACATAACCCGATAAACATGACCCTTATAGTCTCTATATGTATTCCTTGACCCAAACATGGGTTTAAGGGTATTTAAGTTTTAACCACAAAGCTCTTAAAAACAGTTACACCATTGGATAATTTATAGAGATCATTATGACAGAGGATAATATTTAATCTTTGGTGCATGCCTTTAAGACAACACTGGTACAGAGTTATACTGTCTGTGTTTGGCTTCCACTTCAAACATACATTACCTGCATTTTGGACATGTTAACAAAGGCCAATATCTTTGCGATGTTGGTTGGGTTTCTTTTCATGTGTTAGCTCTTGATAAAGGTTTCTGGGTGAGCGAAGGTACGCAGTTATATTGACATGCGCATGAATTTACACATGGGGAAACTTTAACAACAGAACGTAAGTATAAATCCAAAACCTAAAGAAAGAATACAAAAAAACCCCTGTAAAAAACATATCCAACATTTTCCAACCTTATCTTTTTTTTGCATCTGTTTGTCTCTGTTTATGTGTATGTGGCAGTCGGAGACCCCCACCTTCTCCAACCCACTAGACCTCTGACCTCCTTCCCTCCCTGCCTGTCGCCCGTCTAATTATCCGAGAGACCATGGACAACAGTGCCACCTTCCTGCCGTCCTCTACCACACCTGACCTGAGCCGGCTCCCTTCTCTTACCCCCCTTACATTAAGTCACCTCTCTCTCTTTCCCAATCACCCCACTCCCAAGAACCCCTACCTACACACACACACACACACACACATACACTCACACACTCCTCTGTTTTTGTACAGAGATGCTGCAGAATACTTGAAACACTCACCTGCATGACTGACACACAAACATGCTGTACCCTCAGAAATTTAAATAAACTCTGTAGAGGATATGAAATCAAAACAAATCTGTGTGTATGCGCACATGTGCATGCACACCTGCTTACTCAATACAAACACATATATTTAAAATGTATATGTATATAATAGTGAATACATGCAGAATATATGTTCCCACTAATTAAGCATGACACTTTGCCTACTCCAGCCTGTCCTTTAGGTGTTCTGGGTGCTGACGTACATTTTGTCCCTCAGTTGTTTTCATTATCTTATTCAATTCAGGTTTTCTCCCTGATTTCTGTTTTGCTTTCCATATTTTCATCAAGAAATATTTGAACTAAAATGTTTTTATTGTTCAAAACATTTGTATGTCTCTCATGCCCAGTGAAAGAGCTTTCTTTTTATCATGTTTAAAGGTAGCTACTTTTAAAGAAATATATATTTTGGGGGCATTTTATGCCTTCATTAGATAGACAGGACAGTGGATCGAGTTGGAAATTGAGGAGAGAGAGTGGGGAATGACATGCGGGAAAGGAGCCACAGATTTAGTTTGAACCAGGGCCATCCACTGCGAGGACTATGGTCTCTGTAAACGGGGACAACGACCTAACCACTAGGCCACTGGCTCCCCTAAGGTGGCTAATTTTGAACTCAAAAATGACATTTAAGGGAAAAAAAATCATAATGTGCGTAACTAATTATTCTGTTCATGTATTTGGGTGACTATTCATTTTTTCCCAATATATATATATTGAGCAGCTAAATGACATTTCCTGTTGTACAAACTTAAGCCTGCTGATTACAGATAGGCCGACACATTTTGCTTGTAGCACGTAAAACAACAAGATTATATATTTGTGAGGTAATTCTCTGGGGTCTTCTCTTTATGATTGGTGTGGGGGGTTCTCCTTCATGTAAGGTGTTCTTTTATTTTTCACTAATTTTACTCTTTTGCTCCTGAAAGCTCTTTACCAGCCCCTCTTAAATCCCCACATTCCCCCTCTCATCTCCTTCCTTTAAATTGTTTTGGTGCAACTTCACCCATTCACTATGAATCAAAATCTAGACCTACATGGCCGGGGACAGTGCCAGGGCTACCGCTCCTCTGCTTTTCTTGTCTTTTCCTTCTCCTCCTTATCTTTCTTTTAATTGTCTCTAAGTTCAAATATTTCATAACTTTCTGTTCTTTCTGCAACTGAATCATTTTGAGTGGAGAGCCACGTGTTCAAATAATCTCACACAACCACCTCTAAAAATCGCTGCTGTCTGTGTTTCTGCAGAACCTATGCAACTACTGTTTCCCAATATTATTTTGGCTGAAAGAGGCGCCTCCCATGACACTTCTTCCCCTCTCTTCTTCGCATAAATTTTTTTTGTTGCGGAGTCATATCAAGGCTGGATTGAGATAGAAAGTGCAATATATAGAAACGCAGCAGTAACACAAGAATTAGGGTATAGCCTATTGTAAGATGAGAGGAAGGAAAGCTGTGGCCTGGGTCGCACCCCGAGACTGTTAGATCACTCTTCATAAGCCCTTTTATTCAGAGGGAATGAGGTCCCCAATGGGAAAGGTTTTAGGTGTTTGGAGTGGGTTTCTTAAGTCAGCTTCAACAACATTATCCTAATAAGGAGACATTTCTTTTCCTTTGAAGAAACGCTCCGGTCAGAAACCTCAAATGTTGTTTTAACGTCACAGTACTGTTCTTCCAGGTTGCAAAAACTCTAAATGAAAGCGAATCTGACCAATCCTGATCTATAAGCAATTGTAAAGACACTGAATAGTGATATCCTACTGCCGCTACTGCTTAACGAGTAAAGTTAGCATTCAGTTGGCTATGTCCTTGCTAACATTGCCAGCTTGTTATCATATTATGTCACCATCAAACGTGGATGTTCAATAGGATAATTTACATTTAGCTAAGAACATTCATGTTAGCTAATAATGAGACTTTTATCTTAGAGAAAAATGTTAGCAAGGAAACATGAATGTTAGCTTAAATAGTAAAACGTCAGCAATGAACGTGGACGTTAGCTTGACACGCTCATGTTAGATGGGAATGTGATTTTTAAGCAAAGAAGGATTATTATTATTATACATTTTGGATATGAACATGAATGTTAGCTTCAAACTGAACGATGTCTTGCAAATGTTGACTGCTAAGTTTAGCTAATTATCAAATATAGACTGTTAACTTCAAATACAGACCATTGTCCCTCAAGATTTTACCCTTTAAATTGCTCATTAAGTTGATGATCTATTGACATTTTTTAGCATACACTTTGTTAAGACGTTCAACCTGGAACACAGAAGTAGGCTATGACATTATGACAGCGTTTCAGCTTCCGCCCCTTGTCAGAAGAAAATGGCCGCCGTGTGAATATGCATTAAATCTTCTGATTGGAAATCGTTTATCATGCTGCTCTGCCATTTATTTTGTTTGTTTTGTTTCCCCCCCCTCCTCTTTTTTCACCCTTTTCTTTCTTCTCTCAGTGGTCATGGGGGTGAGTGAGAACATGAAAAACAGCCACAGTCTATGCATAAAACGATCAATCGCTCCTCCCGTCTCCGCCTCATGGCGTTGTTGAGAACCTGTGATCTGAACCCATCTTTCACTACCTGTTTTGCCACTGAATTCTTCTGTCGGTGTGATGTGTTGTATTTTAACCGTCTACAAAAACAAACCAACCCACCAGCCTCAAAAACCCATATCTACTCTGAACTGCAAGTGATGTCATTCTAGTCATAAAAAAAACACCTGAAACACTTTCCTAGTTATTCTTAGTACAACTCCAAAGCAAAACAAAGCATATTCTATTTATCAGTCATTATTTAAAGTTTATAATGGACATATCTTAATGTGTTATTATGTATATGTGTGGTGCATCTTCTTGGACTTCCACTGTTTAGAAACTTTAGTCCACAATGTATGAAATATCTTAATATTTAAATTATTACGAATAAATGAGTATGTGTATAAGGGAATAATATTTGGAAAACTTGTATAAAAAATGTATTGCAGTGAAATTGATGGATGTTGGCAGTTTGTTTGATACTTTAGCGTGTAGCAGAGGGTGTTTTTGTTTGTTTTGTTTTTCTTGTCTCTCCCTCAGGGAGCGACAGAGTGAATGTGTGAACTCCTGCAGCCAACAGGTCCTGCATCTTGTTCAAACTGCTGTGGATGAAATGATGACTTTACCCTGCAGGACTGCCATGCTTTGTGAACACATTAAAAATTCAGTGTACTGAATGATGCTTCTTCTTTCTTTACTGACAAATAATATTAACCGAGGAGCTGGATCTGTCGAGGGAGGCGATCACCAAAGCTAGAAGGATTTTGGAGGAACAAATAAACAAAACCTGAAGAGCAGATTGCAAAACAATGAAGGACTTTTTTAAAATTCTCTGAACAAGTTTGATTATAGTTAAAGCTTTGCAAAACTATGAATCAGTTCCTCTTGTGTCTAAAAGATATTTTAGTTTCCAACAGAACTTTAAAGTACAAAACAAATGGATGACCAAACAATCAGTAAACGTCTCCGTAAAGATTTCTCTTTTAGGATTAGACAAATTAATGATATCAGTGAATTATGAGCAAGGCTCTTATCAGCTATGCATCCATTCATAGTAAATGTCCCTTTCTTGTTCTAAAGCTGTGATAATAGGGAGAATTAAACACAATTTTATAATGTTTTACGCATGAGATGAAAAAATAAGCTTGTGAAAGAATTGTTTCTAAACAGATACAAATATATGACTGATGATGTGAAGTTGTTTTTTAAAGCTTTGGTGGTTTTCAATACTATAGAATTATCGTAAAAATAGCAGGATGTTATTGTTTGGTTTTAAACACATGGTACTTAAAAGTACAGCAGTACCAAAAAAAACTGAGCATTACATCAGATCACAAAAATGTTCCAGAACCACGGTACAAGCTTGTACAACACATATTTGCCATGTGGTCACATGTTTTTGGACGTGTAATTAATGTTGTTTTTCCTTTGTGAATTCTTTACATGCGGAAATGCATCAAAAAGAGTCGAGACACAAAGTGTGTTAAAGTTGCTCAATCAGCTTTATTCAGGAGAAGGGGAGAAAATATTACTCAAGGAAGAAAAACAAATCAGTAAGCTTCTGTCAGAAGCAGCCCTTCAACAAATCAGTCTTTTTTTTTAGATCCTTCATTTCCATCCAAAGTCATTTCTATTATACATTAAAACTGATTAGTCGAGATACTAACTTATCCAAATAAATAGAATATTTTCTCTTTGCTTTTCTTAGTCAATCTTTGTAATAAATCACAACCATCCAACCGCCAACACCCCCACTCTGAACTAACAGGCATACAAACACTTCTCACTGCCAGCAAACATGGCAGAGCAGTTTCCCCCCCCACACACACCGCCAGGCATAATGAATATACAATATGTTACACAGTTACAGTATATACACCACCTCCTTTACAGTAAAGACAATAGATGATTTCACGTCGCTATTTCTTTGAATCACACATTAGATTTTCAACAGTGAATTAAAAAGAATGGGAAGTCATTTTATCCACGTCTGTTAATTTGCGAGCCCGGAAATAACACTATAATCTTTCTAATGAATATTTATCTCTTGGTATACCCACTCCCAAGTACAAAACGAAGGAAAAGTAAGTTTTTGTGGCACACAAAGGAAACCAAAAAGTGTAAGAATGCTATGAGGAGAGGAATTTTTAAATCAAGAATGGCTGCCAACACAGCACTTAAACCAAAGCGCTGTTGTTTAGGTCAGATGCAGAGCATCAGTTACAGACCATATGGCCTCCACAATAAATCTTCAATACATTTTGGTTTGAATAATAGGCCTCAAATGCACTAATGCTTTCTGTACTGCTCACTACTCACTTTTTAAGTGACCAAATGTCATGTGTGCAATTAAATAAAGTGTCTTCTACCTCAAAGTAAACACAACAGATCTTAAAAGACATCCAAATGAGAGGGTAAAAATACCCTCAAAAAGTAGCAAAAAGCAATGAGACTCGTGTATCATGGCATATTAAACTCATGGAGCGACTTGTGGAAAACAGAGCACTCTGCAAAAAATTGCTGTGATATTGCAGCTCTCTGAAATTAGTGAAAAGAGAAATAGATATTCAATTGGGATCAGTTCTAGCTGATTTAATGCCCAGAGAAGAATAAGTTACATGTTGCTTTTTTATAAAATATAAACCAATGACTGGTTTTGTTTTTCCAGTTCTGATAAAGAGTTGTTCATTTTCTCAAATTGGGATTGGTCCCTCACTTTCAGGAATCATTTTACAAATTCTTAATGCAAGCAATCTCTTTTAGTCTACTTATATTTACAAACCTTCCTCATCCATCCTCAAAGTGCAACACTGCACAAACACACAAGCCAACACACTTTCAATTCACTTGCTTTCGGGTTGGAAACCTCCGCCTCACAGAGGGGCTTCATAGGGTTCCTCTTCTCCTCCACAGACGTTAGGAAGAGGCTCTGTGGTAGGAAGCGTCTCTCTCCAACCGTCAGAATGAGAAGCTCTGTACAGATTTAGTGCAATCATACTTATATAATCTGATAGAACTCTAGAAAAAAAAAAAAAAAAAAAATACAACAGATGCAACTTCGGCTGAAGTGGGGTTGGGGGGGCTGTTTGGATCACACATCAAATACAAGCTCACACATTCCAGTTGTAAAGGATGTGCATTAATTCATCTTTGATATGTGGAAATGCAAGAAAACGTAACGGAAAAGAATGGCCTTTTATTTTTAGTGTAGACTTCATAGGAATCTTTGAAGAACCCATGAAGTAGACGATGAAGCTCCAGTTTGATAAAAGGCCAACGAATACCTCCTGATCACAGAAAATATTAGAAGGAAGAAAAAAGAATTGAAGTAGAGAGACAGAGATTTGAACACTAAACTCCCAGTAACTTCCTCATGTCCCTGTGCCATGGTATCAATAACATAAGTGACATAAAGATAAAGTACAATAAAGTGTAAAGCAGCCCCAAGCTCACACTCAAAGCTCTAATATGTATCCATATTACACTGTGAACAAGAGAACACCTTGATGATCCAGATCAGAAAGTGTTCATGGGGTCTTCAGATTGCATCTATCCCCCTCCATGACTTAGAAAACACCTTTTTGTAACAGCGGTGAATTCTGTGTGACGACATGGCAACACAAAAGTTTCACATATATTAACATTTTGCACTTAACAAACATGACTTGCTTTCAGTGTCCAGAGGAAAAAGATAACTCAGACAAAAAAAAGCTGGTTCAAGAAAAGAAACCAATCCGTCACACCTGCCTCCGTCTTCCTGAATACTATCATGTGACCAGCGAGCTCTCGACTTTCAAACAGAACAGCGCATGCTAGTGTGTGCGCTGACTTTCTTTACTGACTTTCTTTTACACCTCTTCCACTCTTTCAATGTTTCCCCATCATCACCTTTCCCTCCCTCACATTTCACACAACCCCACACGTAAATAAACACGTTATTACATTCAATCTTGATGCTCATTTTTTTTTTGGCATTTCTACAGTGAATTGTGTTAAAACTGAGATTTGTACTACATTAAATGTGCACATCAATAGGCTGCTTATTTTTACAGCTGTTTATCAGCGAGGGGTTGGCATATACGCCCCCTTTATTGCACTTATGTGTAAGATGGGAGGCGAGAGGGGGATGGGAATAAAGAATTGTGGTAAGGAGAATAATCAGATTGCCTTAAGGAATACTGATTATCACTTCTCTGGAAAGAGCATTATAGGAAAAAAAACAAAACAGGAAACTCTCTATCCAAGAACGCACACTCCAGTGCCAACACACAGAACAGAGAGGGGGCTTTTCAATTCAATCAAGTTAAAGTGATTCACATTCCTGTGACGACTTCTGAAGGTGGTCAAAGTTCTTTAAGTGTTTGTGACTGTGATAAATAAGATAGGAACAGTTGTGTTTTATTTTCTTCAGATTTCAAGACAAGTCCAATATGGTTCTCTCACACGCGAGCATAAAGCTTCTGTCGCACACACACACACACACACCTCACACCACCAGGATCCTGACTTCGTCCTGTTCGTCCGGCCGGTAGAAGAAGGGGATGCATGGGTTCTCTCCGAGGAAGGGGGGCGATCTTGGCGCCCTCTGGGGGTTCTGGATCTCTTGGAGCAGCTGCATGATCTGCTGGGCTGTGCCGTCCTCTTTGGGCACCATAGGCTTGGAGTCAGTCTGGGCTGATCCAGAGGAAAGCGTGTGTGCTGAGGAGGCTTCCTCGCCGGTGGCGGGCTCCGACAGAGGGATGACCTCCATGGCTTCTGCGGCAGAGAAAGAGAGGAAGAGCAGTGTGTCTCTATTATTGAATATTAATAAAGAGTTGTCGTGGATTTTTCTGTTTTTAAAGATCTCAAGTCAAAGATTTGTCGTAGTGTATTTAATTGCTCGAGTATAAAGGGTTTCTTTTGCAAAAAGGGGGAAACTTAGACAGGAGTGACAATCAGCACAAATGCACAGCAGAGTCCCGCTCGGGAGCGGTTACATCGAGACATTTATACCAGACATCGCAAAGCAGGGCACTCTCATTGGTTGACTCATGACAGGTGTTGCACTCTCATTGGTTGACTCATGACATGTGTTTTAATCTGACTAGAGACTAGTTTCAAATAAGGTGACAGTCATGTTCGTGTGCTGTTCATTCAAATAAGGTGACAGTTTAAGCAAACAGGGTGTCGTACAAGCCAGACGTGTCACCTACGCTTCAGCACTATTGTAAGCAGAAAGTCATGTGTTAAATGAATAAGCTAGAACATATATTTTTCCATTACAGAGTGCTTTTAAGACTCATTATACAAATAACAATAGAACATTTACATGGACTTCAACCTTTTGACTGCTGACTTTTACCTAAAGAAATCACTGGGATGAAGCTATTTGAGTGACTTTGACTGATTTGATTTACCATTGAGCCAAGATAGCTCTTACATTTGAAAAAAAAGGCACATACATTTCCCCAGCAAAAACCCAGCATAACTACAAGTGGACCATCATGCGACAACAATATATGTGTTCAATTCTTTACATTAGTAAATGATCTAAAAAAAAAAAAGCATTGCAACTGTGCCTACCTGCTCCATTGACAGCATTAAACTCTGTGTGTGTGTGTGCTTGATGCTCTGGGTGTGTGTGATCCTCCCCAACAGGTAGCAGGTCAGGGTTCACTGTTCCTGCGCCCGACACAGCTCCAGTGTAGCGGCTGTACCAGTCGTTCCTCTCAGCCACCAGCCTCATCACCAGGTCCTGCAGCTCTGCCAGCTTCGCCTGATGGACGGAAGAGAAAATGGAGAAAAGGACGGAGGAGTAGGAAGAAAAATAAACATGCATCAAGAACAACATATAAGGCTTTATTGTTATTTTAAAAAGAAAAGGTTGCTTTGCAGTACCTTCATCTCCTCCTTGTCCTGGGCCAGCATGCTGATGTACTGTTCCTTCTCCTGGTGTTTCTGCTTCATGATGGCGCGCTGACTCTGGTACAGGGCAATATACTCTCCTAGAATGCAAAGCAACAACAAAGTAGAAGAAATTATTTAGATGGAAAATAGCTTTTCTGCATCTGTCTTTATGATATTTTCATTAAAAATGTGTGTTTTTAACAACAACAAAAAAGAGCCTGCTGCCTCACCTATAGTGTCAGTCTCTCCAGACAGCTGGATGCAGCGGTGCTCCAGCTCCTCCACCCTCTCCTTCAGGTCAGCTTTCTCTTGCATTAGGGAGGTGAAGCGTCGCTGAAGCTTCTCCATTGCGGCTTGCAGGGCCTGATGAACTTCCACAGGTACACCTCCATCTGTGAAAAGGACGGCAACGTATACATTTGGTTTACATAATATATACAACAGATTAACAGAAAACATTTGGAAGTATTTTGCGGATCTTACGAGATGCAGTTTCGGGACATTATTTGTCCACCAAAACAAACGATGTAGTCATCCTCACCTGAGTGTTCATGGCTGTGTTCACAGTGACTGTGCTGGTCCTGAGTGTGCTCGTGCTCGTGATGATGGTCATGAGCAGGTTCGTGGCTCTGGTGTTGGTGCTGGAGACTGAGGGCCACAGTGGCCTGGTGACGGGCTGCCATGTGGAGCCGGTGCTCCTCCTCCAGTTGCCTCCTGGCCTCGTCCCTGTCTGCCTCCAGCTCAGCCAAAGCTCCTCTTATGAACTCCTCCTGTAGAGAAGCAAAGCAAAACAAACAAACAGTTGAGGGTATTGCTTTCTTTATGGAAAAAGTCCCTTGCATATTTGCGCAAGAACAAGTTGGGGAACATCATCTATCACCCTTCTCACCATCTCCTTCTGGCTCTCAAAGTCTTCTGGGATAACTATAGAAGAAGACTTCTTTGGGCTCTCTTGTAGGGACTGGCTTTCCACTCCATCGCCTAAGTGACAAATCCAAAAATTATCAATCTTTCACAGAATCGCTTTCCCATTTTCTCAAGCGAGTGGTCTGAGAGTGAAAGAAAGAGAGAACTGATTTTCAGCAGGTGGCACTGGTTTCAAAATGACTCCTTACTTCCCAGCCTGAAGGGGAATCTCATGTTGCTGATGTTGTTGCTAATGTAGCTCTGAAGGTTTCAGAAGCTTACAAACAACAGTGTCATTGCTTCATGTCAAAGACAGCGGTTATCAGTTTTTGGTTTCAATTCTTTCAAATTTAAAAAAGTGAGAAAGGGAAGCCAGTTAATTGTGCAGTTAACCATGTGGCTCATAGTTTCTCTTCTCTATTAAATTGTCTGTGTCTTTTTTTTGGCACTTAATTTTAAAGGGAGGGCAGAAACCATTGAAATACAACATGGAGAAGCTCTGACAATTACAGAAAAACAAGGAAAAAAAAAAAAAAGTACCTTGGTCTCTGGGTGACGGGCTGAGACCTGAACTGTTGAGCAGCTCATTCACCTCAGCCTTCAGCTGCTCATTGTCTCTGACCAACAGCTCTAAATGCTCCTGTAGGGGGAGACAGAGTCGTTCAAAACACGCTTTAACAAATACTTTGAGTGTTTGATGGTGCTCCACGGATAAGGAAGGTGAAGTGACAGAAAACACAGCTAAATGCTAACATACTGTTTAATGGACTGACTCCAGACCCTTTACGGAGGTCTTGAAGAATGTAAGTGCATGATGTTAACTGCCTTCCTTTAAAGTATCACAACTGACCTGATTGAAGTATTAGAGTATCATTCATCAATCCGTGGTCTTGTACACACCTGTGCTTGTTTCAGCTGATTGTGGCTGATCTCCAGTTGCACGCGGCCGTGACTTTCATCGTGCTGCAGCCGGTCCATGAGCTGGACCTGCTGCAGATAATGATGGTTGAGCTGTTCCCGCTCAGAGGCCAGGGTCTGGTAGCCCGCACAGTACTGCTGAAGGTGGGCTGCTACCTGGTCTCTCTGCTCCAACAGACCCTGAGCCTCCTTAGATTTCAGTTCCAGCTGAAGAAACAGAGAGGAGGATTAATACAAATGAGAAGACAAACCCTGAACATAAGACGCCCATTCCCCTTCCTAAATCGTATTTTTGGAAAAAGACTTTGTGAAGACCAAAACCTGTGTTTATAAAGAAAAAAAAATCCATCCATCCGTTATCGCTTTTTCATACGGCTTTTCCCACTCGGGGTCGTGCAGGGTTGGACCTTTTAGATAAAATGCTCTTTCCAATATCTTGAGAATTGAATTATCACATTTCTATTCAATAAATTAATTATTCAGTCATTTTGAACAGGCTTAACAATGACTGATCTGTCACCCTTCTTGCGCTCTGTGACAAATGTTGCCATTTCAAATAATACAGATGTTTGGTCAGTGTTACCTGTCCAATCCAGGGGGTATGCATGTTCTTTTCTTTAAAATAATCACGTAGCGCTGAAAAGGCATGTACCTTTGTCCCGTTTTTCAGTAACATATTCACTCCTGTTAATCTCTTTATGGACCACAGTAAGAGTTCTTCTGACTGTTAGCATGTTTAAGACAGAAGTAGTGTGCCCAAAAAGACCAAGCCGTTACGCTCTGTGACATCATATTTCTTGGCTGCTTGACAGATATTTAATGAGTCTGCTGCATTGATAACCAGTCTCTGAAAATTGGCCTCATATCCCCACATCAGTTGTCAGTTGACTTGACCTACTTTTGCACCACTTTGTTCTAGACTTTCACTGCGCCTCACCCCTGTTACTCTAATTGTGAGTGACGGCTGGCCTTAGCCATGAGCAGAACACTCTCTATAAGTAAGTAAGTGGCTCAGTCTATTATTGTGAACACATATTGGCATTTGAGATGTGTTTCAAGGATAAAATCTCTGTTTTAAATTCAGAACAATACGGTATAATTCATTGCTCTAGGACTCAACATATCATAGTGAACAAACAACAGATACCTTAACTTTTAAATCAACCAGCAGACCTCTAGTTGTGCTTGTCAAGAGAGAGTATGAGACCGTACCTGTTCCTTGACGTTGTGTAGATTTTCTTGCAGTTCACCCATTCTGCGAGCGAGCTCTTTTTTCACATGTTGCTCTGACTGGATGGCGGTGGTCAGCTCCATGTTCTCATTGGTCTGTACCCCCAAAAAAAATCAACAGGCATTTAGTCTCCCTGCCCTTGAGGTTACACTTCTTATGATTGTACTTTCCTAATTTGTGAAAACTCGGTCAACTTATTCTTACAGACACATCTGAAAAACTTCGTAAAATAAGAAAAAATAAATGGAAATTAGAAAGAAGAAGATATATCAGACAAACAAATGCATCTGAAGAACAGTAGCAGGATGCACACAGTAAAATACAGATATAATCCTTGTAAATTATATCAACATACAACAGAAATATGAATTACGTTTCTTTATAAATGTGTCATTAAATAAAAGAACAGATTGAGAGCTAGATTTTCATCAGTACCAGTTTGACGAAGCCGTTCTGTAGCTCAGCCAGCTGGTCCTTCAGAGTGCGGTTCTGGGTGAGGGCACGGCTAATCGTAGCCTTGTCTGACTGAACGTCCTCTAACATGCGCCGACGGTCGTCTGACTCCTGGACCTGGCTCTCCACCTGCCGCTCCATCTCCCCAAGACGCGTCTCCTGCTCTGCACACAGCCGGCTCAGCTGCTGGTTATCTCGAAGCTGCAGGAAACATCACATCACAGAGGCTGGTTATAGAAGCTACAAACCAGAGAGAACCAGCGGTCTTTGAACAACTGTTTTGTGAACTGATCAATTGGTGTTACTTTTAAATCATAAGGGATAATGACCATTCAATGTTACAATTCAAGGTAACACTAAGTTTATAATGAGTGATCAAGCATGTATACCTGTGCCTGGAACTGTGCAGTTAAAGCGTCTTTCTCCTGTTGTAGAGTACTGAGGGCCTCCTGCAGAGCCACTTCACTCTCTGATGGCCCCGAGGACTGAGGCGCTGCTTCTTTCTGAGAGTGTCTCTCCTGGGACAACAACGCTGGAGAAAAAACAGAAGGATGATACATTTCCAAATGTTCTGACAATGAGGATTTACTATGGAGGGAAAAAAAAGACTCAAGCACAGTGAGTGCCTGACAGCCTTTACAGGATTTCATTTGGTCAGATATTAAAACAATATTCAGCATATCAGTCAATGTGCTGCAGGATTCTTTACTTGGTCCAAGAATCACCTTAAGATTGTGTTTATTGCCAGGACACATGACAAGCCGAGTATGTGCATCCTCCTATGGTCAGGCTTATTTACAAAAGGTGTCCTTTACATCAAGGAATGAGCCGCAACAAAGCCATTAAAAGACGTTGCGCTCGATAAAAGCACCTCTTACCTGTAGCATGTTTTAGCTCTGTGATGCTGGCCTCCAGTTCTTGGACTCTGCTGATATTTCTGTCCCTCTCCTCTGCAACCAGAGACACCTGCACACACACACAAAAATTAAACAGATCCATCATTAATTTGATTAAAGCTGTGTGTATACGTTATATGTTAATGTAATTCTATTATGTACCTGTGTTAGCAGCTGTTCGGTTTTGTCCTTCCAAATTCGGCCCTCCTCCTGGATCTGCCCGGCATAGACATCCCTCTCCGTCTGCAGCCGAGCTATCGACTCAATCAGCTACAACATGAAAACATTAGAGGCAAGGTTGTTTTTATATTTAAAAAGAAGTTTCTGGTCATGAGAGATTTACGTCTTCTCCTATCTTTGCATATCAAAGGATCAAAGGTGGAAAGATGGAAATGAAAAGCATAATAGGTAGACGACATCTCCTAATCTGATTCAAAGCTAAATGGGACAGTACCTCAGACTCATGCATTATACATTCTTTAGAATAAATGGTGGTCTAAAAAATGGACGATGGTGGGTCTGCGTCATCTGTAAAATTAATTTCCATGTCTCTTATGGCTGTATGTGTTTTGCAATACCATCATGGTGTAATATTTTTCTCTTATTCATGTTGTTTTTTTTATGCAGATCATGTGTAATATTGGCTTTGTGCCATACGGTATATGTTGTTTGTGTTTTTCACTGGTTTGTGCCTTTCTTTTTATATGTGGATTGTATGTGGTAGTAAATAGTATTGAACTGTATCATATCTGTTTAAACCTGAGAATACTGTAAAGCTGCAGGTAAAAAAATAATAAATATTATGCGCCAACTTAAAACAGACCTGGTGATTGTGTGCCTCTAGCTGCTGCTTCTCTTCCGCAAGTAACTGGACCTGCTGGCTGGCACTGGAGGGTTCTGACTGATTGGTGAACTGGAAAGATAATAAAAAGGACAAAAATTAGAATAAAATGTGATTAATACATGAACATGCTTGCACTGTTTGAAAACACTCGGGGCTCTGGATTGAAACAAATCCAATGCAGTGGCTTTCCTCATAGATTGGCTGTTAAGATGATCCACCACTGCCAATTATTGATAAGATTAAGGTGAGTGTCCTTACGCACCTGTTGCAACATGAGGTCAGCCATTTCGAGCCTCTTTTGAAGCTCTTCAAGCTCCAGCCTCATCGCTACGTTCTCCTCAGACCTCAGCTTTAACTGCTCTGAAAGCTCGGAGCTCTGCTGCTGTGACTCCTCACTCAAATTGCTGCAAACAGACAAAAATACAAAGAGACCGTTCATCATTTCTAATTTAACAGAATTAAGCTGGACTTAAAAAGACTTGCTCATGCCATCCATTGCACTGCATACAATACAATGTATTCTAAATACTAATCGGTGATGTCAAAGCAATGTCAGAGACTTCTTCTGTGGAAATGTTATAAAATACATCTACTTGTGTATGCTAAGTTAAAGTGACTTACCTTAGTCTAAACACCTCTAGCCTCAGACTGTCTCTCTCCTTTTCAAATTCTTTGTTGTGCTGAGGGAGGAAAAAAAAAAATGTTATACCTAAAAATTGGAACCATGACTGAACCATTTAATAAGTTATATAAATCAAGTCAAGTGAAGAATGACGATACATGCTTTTGTGCTTGGCTTTCTATATGTACAAACATTAATGCACATCAAATTTAGCAAGGTTGTCATACATGTTATAAACTGCATTCAGCATTACTCCTTCCTAAGTGAGTTCTGTTTCACAGAGGGAGGGATAACTGCAATGTCCGTTACCTTTTCAAACTGCTTCTGCTGTGTTGATACGGAGGAAAGAGTCCTCTCCAGCTCTGACACTCTCTGCTTTGTTGCCTGCAGACGGTTATTCAATTCCTCTGCCTCCCCTACAAACACACCATGCACACAAACACAAAGAGACACAGACACACACAACTATTACCCACTGTAAGGGTGAGGACCGAGCCAGGATGAAAAAATGTCTTTCAAATGGATGTGTGTGGTATTGTAGAACACACATGCACACCTGATTTTTGCCGTGCAGCCTGTTGTGTGTACTGTAGTGCTGTTTGGAGCTCTGACTTCTCTGATACCAGTATGCCGATGGTCTGGATGTGAACCTTGAAAGGACAGATTAACAGTAAGTAAAGCTTTTAATGAGTCAAAATAACATCATGTCCTTTATTAAAGCAAGGAAGGAGGGTGACGGCATGATCTCTGACATTATATACTGACACATTATATGGCAGTATGAGGTTTTTTTTTTTTAACCACTTTTACTCTGCAATGACGCATTCTCAAGAAAAAATGTATTGACACATTTTTTAAAGGTTTTTTTAGATGTTTTAGGTAAGATAGGTTACCTGTAATTGCTCCCGCATCGCTCCCTGTTCCTTCGAAAATTTCTGTTCAAACTCCTTTCTCTCCTGTGGGAAGACAAATTCAAATGTTTATGAATGACCAGTAGGGATAAACTCAGTGGACTGGGGGGAAAAAGAGACAATAATGAACCCACAGTTTACCTTTTGAAGCTGATCTGAAAGCCCCTGAGAGTGCTGAACCTGGCAGAGAGGATATATTGTAAAGTTAAGCCAAGATCGACACTTCTTTCATCATCCCAGCAGTGTTTCCATAATTTAACCATGTTCTAAAACATGACCTAACATGTGGTACAAAGGACTCATCTGCATACCAGACAGGACAGGGATAGCCCAAAACACTGGATTAATCAACCTGCTTTGTAATCTTGTATGTCACAAAGAATGAGTTTATGCGGTTAGTTATCTTAATTGCATGAAAGATCTTTAAAATGAGGCAGCTATCATCTCTTATGATAGCTCTAAAGTGTGCAAACACATTATTACCTTATGCAGGTGTCATGCTTAAATTAAAATATTTTAGTCAAACTAAGTGAAATATAAATGACATGACAAACATGCATGACTTTAATTCAGTTAATCGTTACTCGAGATCACATGAGAATGCAGACAGATCATGCACTGATGTTGTACTTGATGGGATGGCAGAAAACAGGGCTACTTCAAACACACACAATTAAGCATACAAACACAGCTTCTTACCAGCTGGTCTAGCTTGGTATTGAGCTGAGAGTTTGTTAGGTTGCTGGACTCCAGGGCGGCTGCCAGCTCCTGGTTCTGACTCTATCACGTGCACACATGCATCCGGGAAAGAACAAATAAAAAATAAAAAAGAAGAGAGTGATAAAGTGCAGTGGAAAAAGTCAAACAAGGAATACATGGGAGGAGTGGAACAAGTGTGTATTATTAACATGGAGGTAAACAATAGCACCTTCAGAAGTGGCAAAATAATGTGTTTCAAACATGAGAGGGAATGATGAATATATAAATATATTTGTTTAACTGATTAATGAGACCAGTTGAATTGTACTGGAGTCTCCATTACAATCTCCCTAGGTGTTAACTGTCACTCTGCAGAGCCACATATGTCATGGCTACCTTTAAACTCTAATTCCCCTGATGTAAACATGCTATGGAACTACTTCAAACCCTGGTCTTGTATTTAAAAACTAATACTTCATGTTAGATTTCCATCTTACCTCAAGTTCTCTTTCACTGACCAAAGGTGCACCATCTCCGTTCACATATGCAGAAGATGTCTGAAATGACAAGCACAAACTTTTAGCTTAAATCAAACTAATAGTTGATGCACTTTGAACATAGAAATCAAGTGGTTCACGTCAAGTTCAGAGGTTATGGGCTGCAGTAAGTCCTCAACAAAGCAACTTTTTACCTTTCAAAATGTCTCTGTAGATGTGAAAAAGAAAATGTAGAAATGTGTTATAATCAAAAATGACCATTCTTCATGAGCTTAAATCTGAAATGTGTTGGATTCACAGCAGATGGGCAACCTGATTAGTCAGCAGTTGTTACACCTGCAATTCTCAAGCGTAATAAAAACAGCATACACATCACATGTCTATATAAGATCACCATTAGGATACCTATCTTATCAATCTTTCAAGAAAGCGATTGAAAGACAAATGTTTCTCTCTCTCATTTGTTGTTGACTGTGTAAACCAAGTCCAGAGTATATGAAGTATATCAGGCTGGCTCAGTGTAACCAGTTGACGCTGCCAGCATACTTAAGGCCATTGGAACAACTGGCAAATTTAAAATGCTTCCAGTGCATTCCTGCCAAGAATAGATGCAGCACACCCTCAGTGCACATCAGTGGTGCTGTGTTATTGTAAAAAGCATTACACTGTTTGTCACAGAAGTGTGTGTGTGAGAGAGAGAGAGAGAAAGAGAGAGAAAGAGAGACATTATGACAGCAGAGGTTTTTAAGTCGTACCTCAGAGACCAGGCCATTCAGCTGCTGGGAGAGCTGTCGCAGGCTCTCAGTGGAAGACAACGGTCTGTAGAAAACACACATAAATTATAAATCTTAAACATTTACTTGGTCATTTCCTTTGTTCGGTTGGTTTTCAGTGGCTAAATTAGAAGGATATATGGAAGGGACATTAGAATTCCTTTTTGTACCTATTATATTATAATTGTAGTTCTGTTATGGTAGTTGTGGTTCAAATAATTTAAGAATCTTGACAGTCTAAACATATGATGCTTAAACGCAAACTATCATGGAAGAAGATGAAGATGAACTTTATTGTCACAGTGGGAAATTTGCCTTGGACTTCACTGTACTTTGATGAAGTAACAAAACACCAAAATACATTCATTCATCAGTAAAACCTGTGCCCAATAGTCCAAAAACTATTTTTTCCCTAACAAAACGCGTATTTATGTATGTGGATACATACACATATAGTTGTTTGTGTTTCTGTGTTTTATGACACAAGACACAAGAAGTGAGAAATCGAGTGACCTACCTGTTTTCTTCTGTTAAACTCTCATTGCCATTGGTATCAGGATAGTCCTGCAGAAAGAGAGTGCAGCCAAAAAGGGGAAGAGACAGTGAGAAAGAGAAAAAAATAGTCTGAATGTTTTAGAAAAAAAATACTTGGGTGATGACAATGCACATTTGCACACATCCCATTACACACAAACAGGAATATAAAAACTGATCCTGGAGAGAGACACACACCTGCAGGTCAGAGTTGTGACCGGCAGACTCAGAGTTAGTAGCAGTGTTAGGGCTAGCAGTGTTAGATACAGGTGAGACACGACCAGGCTCGGCCGATGGGTCCTCCAGTAGCTGTGGATCTGAGGAGCCCATGACCTCCATGTCAGCAAACGCCTGAGGTGACACATACACAAAGAAACGCACACACTGGTTTAATGCCAAGAATAGGAGCAGTTATGATGACTGAGAGCAGACCACAATGATGTAGGGAACTACATACAGTTAGAGCTCATGAGCATGAAAAAGTGCAAACTGTAATGAATTAGATTGATGATATGATGCAGTCACCTCAATTATATCATTAATTAACACATCCACATGGTGATATCTGCAACGGACTATAATGCAATGTCTAAGCAAAGGTAATATTAAAATAAAATTGAAGGATTAAGGTTTATTTCTGAATGCAAGCTCTGTAACTTGAGGTGAGAGCTGAGGCAGTAAAGGGGTTTCCCTGATCCGGATACCCAAAGGGCTTTCTGCAACACTTGCAGATTGAAAGAACTGAAAGAAGTGAAGACTGTGATGTGTAAATGCCAACATGTATTTGAACGATTGACGTATAACTGACTTTAGAGCTAATGTGTGCCAGACATCTGTAATGACCTTCAATGCAATATTAACATGTTTAAGAGTGCAAGCAAAGAAGACAGAACAACGAAAGGTTGACAAAATTGACACAAACATATTTCTTGTTTCCAAGATCCATGCATGATGCGCCAAGGCTTATATATATATATATATATACACATATATATCAGAGCTATGCCACAGCTGAGACACATGCAGCTCAATGTGAACAGCCTGCCCAGCAAAACTGAACTTCAAAAAATGATAATGAACAAACAACACTTGGATGAACTCAGAGAAATAACTGTGCAACCTCCATTTGTGTTACTCTTACTAATGATTTAGAAAAGCACAACACTAATTTAAGAATTTGCACTCAATGCTTTCTGCCCCATGTGACAACAAGAAAAATGCACACTTGACTTAAGGAGGATTTCCGAACGAGAAAGCAAAGTGAAACATTAAATACCACGAGGAGCAGCTATCTACAGCTGAGGAATGCAGAGATGGAAAAACAGGCAGGAAAGAGAGACAGAGAGAGACAGAGGCTCACCTGACTGTTGCCATAAGGAGGGAGGACTACTCCATTGCTTTGAGTAAATGCTTTCAAAATACGGTCAAACTACAGGGAAGAAGAAACAAGGGTGGAGGACGAAAGAGGTGTGAAAGGGGAGAGAACAATTTAGACAGTGATGGAGAAGTTTAAGTATAAACAGGCACAGAGAAGCAGCAGCTTCAGGACAAGAAGGAAGAGTTCTAGATGTGAGCAGGGTGTGTAATTAGGAGAAAAATAGACTAGCATGCTCAGTCCACTAATGACTGAAGTAAGTTTAACTATTATAACCCTGTCAGCATCAAGAGAACCGGGGTACAACTACATCTTTCTAAGTGGTGCCGGAGAATCTCTGATTACAAATCCTAAGCTACTTAAGCTTCTTCAACAATCAGCACCTCAAACTAGTAAATTGACCTAGCTCACATTTCTCCTCGCTCTAATACCATGTGACACGTCAATAAGTCTTCACTCACCCTCCCATGTTAAGCCAATAGAAACAAACTTTATTAAAGGCTATAGAACAATGTTTGGGTAACAGACAGGCAGACTATGAATCTTTATCACATGAAATATCACCCTGTGTGGCAATTATTGCAAAATGTCTCATCTGCTTTAAACCCTTAAACTAATCCGCATCTCACTAACAGTCCCATTTCAGATTACACAATTTGACCTAAACTTCTTGGCAAACCAAAAACCAAAAAGGTTTTTCAGCTCAAACAAAAGAGATATGGCAGCAAGTTCTCCACCTGTGACGAGCTCAGATTCCTATCAGGCTTAGAAAAATTACTGACCAACACTGTGTGGGGAAAACTGATCTGAGAGTCAGGCCCTGTGTATGAAACTGTGAACAAAAGTCACATGTCCAACTGTGTGTCCCCATTGTCACTCTACTTGCTTACAAGATCTTTAAAACAGACCAGTAGGACACAGTGTTTTACGTTAAAATGTTATAGCAGTGAGGAACAACAAACAAGCATATTTAAGTGTCATCAGGCTTTAAAATAAAATTTTAAGTCTCAAACTTGTTCATTTTGGACATGATCAAGCATCTGAGAGTGATTCACCACTTTTATTATTATTATTTATTATGAATCAGATGTAAAAATAACAGCCTGGTGAGAATCTGTTTCCTGTGAATATGTCTACATGTTGTCCCTTCAATCAGAGCCAGACGAGTGGCTATTAATAGAGATATGATGGAGAAAGAAGACTGCTGCGAAAGAACACTTGCAATATGAGGCATTTCATTTTTCTTCTTCGATATATACTATATAAAAAATGCACACCATAAAATAAAGGTGATGTGGTATCACCAGTAAGCTAAATTAAAGCTCAGGTTACAAGAATAATTTAAAAACATGTCACTTATCATGACAAACGTGTTAAGAATAAAACCTAAAATCCAGTGTTTGCAGGACTGATGGAGCAGACCTGAATCGCTTATGAAGCTATTATTTGTGTGTGACTAAAATTCTTAAAGCTTTTTAAAGTGTTGCTGCTGTTGTTGCCCTTGGCCACTACAATGTTCAATATATAGCTAGGTGCAAAAAAAAAATATCTGCAACTTCTTCCCCCATTGATGAACATTATTTTCACCATGACACCAGCTCAGGAGATAGGTGTCAATGCTGCTGCTGCTGCTGCTGCTGCATTATTTCACCTTTGGATTTCAAAGGATGAGGCGTTTGCTAAATTTGATAACAATTCATCAGTAAAATACATCAGCAATGTAAACTTTTCAGGATATAAAAATATATTTTAAGGGGTCACATTTAGGTCTGAGAAATCACAAGGCACAAATAGAGGTTGTTATTTGACAAATAAGAGAAGGATGACATGCAGGCAAAATATATGGAGCAAATGGGACTGACTTACATTAACTGGAGAGTTTCTGTCTGTCGAAGCTGCATCGTGTTGATTCGGCCCTTTCCCTTTCCTCTTCTTCTTGGCCCCTGCACCTCCTCCACCTCCACCTCCTCCACCCTTTTCTCCTCCCACACTTGCAGGGGAGCTCTTCTGCTGAAACTCCTTCAGCTGAGCAGCACATAAAATAAGGGAACAACACATGCATAAGAAGTACAGAAAACACTTTGTATCAGACAGATCTATAATTCAGAAGAAATTAGACTCAATATATCTAAATGGCTTAAGAGTGGAACTAAAAGTTGTAAATTAAGATCTGAGATGAAGCAGAGATGAATTGCCTCTTTTCTCTGACAATAGACCAGCTCCTCAAAAGATTCAGTTTTAAATTGTTGACTGAATATATACCGGTACTGTAAATAACTTCTGGCAACTTGTTATTGTCTTGTAACTTAAGCTTGTCTGCTCAATGGCTGACTGTTTAAACCAGGGATGGGGCAACTTTGGCCACAGCAAGGGCCACATTTCCGTTTAATTCTCACTGCCAGAGGGCCAAAATGTATTATACAAAAAACGATTAAAGTCGATTATGTCTCAAGATATACCAGCGATCAAATATTATTAAGGACATATTTCTGGTTTTTCATGATTTCATGGCAGATTTTGTCACATTTTCCAATTAATTGATATGTAAAAAAAAAAAAAATGGACCTGAGGGGCCACTTTGAGGGTTGATGGGGGCATGTGGCCCCCGGGCCGCCCAGTTGCCCAGCCCTGGTTGAAACCAAACAAGAGGAAGTTGATATCTTGTGGCAAACTATGATCATCTGTGCGTAGGTAATGCGTTTGTTTTGGCATTTGGCCCGGGACAGCTGCCGTGTGGGACCAGGGGGAGTCCAAACGGGAACTGCAATTTCTCAAACATTAAGGATGAATTGCATCTAAAATGTAAGTAAGCATGGCCAAGGTAGGACAGCAAGGAATGCTGACGCGTCACTAACATCTCACAGCTGATAAGGCCATCTTTCTGCCTAACATCCCACCTAGCCGAAGCCCGCAGCAGGACAGGACAGAGGGGTGTCAGCTGTCAAAACAAGTCCCCGTCATTCTCTCAAGCTAACTGTGCTACAATGCTACTTCAGGGTTATTTAAAAAAATAAACAAAAATCTGTTAGCTGGCATTGTTTTCAAACAATAATAGAGACGTCCTACAGATGAGGAAGAAAGCTGACGAGCGCTGTATGACATTCCTTACATCCACACACAGCCAACTATTCATTAGTTAGCCAGGTTGCTAACCTCAACTTGCATCAGTTAGCACATCAAGGTCTGCTAACATTATATTTTAACATTACCTAAAAACCACAGGGCAAAGAGGAAAAGCGAAGTTGAACACTGACTTAGTAAACAGCGTGGGATGCTGAAAGTACTTTACTTAACTAAAAAAATAGTCCACATAATCTGGGAAAGTTAATGCTATCAATACAGGCCGAGAAGAAGCACCGGTGTATCCTGCGCATTTAAGCCGCCAGAGGAGCATGAGAGACGGCACGAGCGGAAGCGCAGAGGTCGGGCTACGTGTAATGACAACACCCCTGCTCCGCGAAGACATTAAAAATAAACGAAAGGGGAAACCCTAAGCGACACAAACTCTCACAGGGTAGAAAGGAGCCGTCTTTCTGATGATTTTAAGCCAGGCAAGTTATAAAATACTTTACCTTTTTCTTAGCTGCAGCGAGTTTGATTTGCCTGCTCTGGTCGGCCATACTGCTGCTCTGGTCGACGGACCGAACCACGTCATCAGTTTGCTGTCCGTCGGTGTCGGTGCCGGTAGAGGGCGAAGTCTCGGCCCTCTCTTAAAAGATAGTCTAGGGGGGGGGGTTAGTTTATGGAGGACGAGACCTGACAAAAGTATAAATAAATAAATAAATAAATGTATAAATAAATACTGGAATAAAAAAATAAAAAAATGAATAAAAAAATAAATAATTAAATGCGTGAATAAATAAATAAAAACTGGTAAATAAATAGGACATAAATAATTAAATGTCTTAAATGTATTTCTACATTTATTTATTTATACATGTATTTATTTCCACATTTATTTATTTATACATGTATTTATTTCCACATTTATTTATTTATACATTTATTTATTTCCACATTTATTTATTTATACATGTATTTATTTCCACATTTATTTACTTCTACATGTATTTATTTCCACATTTATTTATTTATACATGTATTTATTTCCACATGTGTTTATTTATACATTTATTTATTTATAAATACTTTTGTCAGGTCTCGTCCTCCATATTAGTTAGGCTACTCTTCGTCTATATTTCATGTTTTTTTATGAACTCGTTGTTTCCTTTTAGCTAATTTGATTCTTGAACTTTAATTCAGGTGCCATTTTAATCTTTAATCTTGATTTCGACAGAACTTAACCCCCCTATGACTTGACTCTACCTTATATAGAATAGAATTACTTTATTGATCCCAAACTGGGAAATTGTGGCATTACAGCAGCAGGTTATCCAACACACAATATGAGTAAAAAAAAACACACAAATATAAAAAAATAAGAATGTGAATATATACAACCAGGATTTAACTAAGCATTACTAGTCTTAAATAGGAAGATTAAATATGAAAGATTGAATGTAAATGTGCAAAAACAGAGTCGTAAATGGTTGTAAATTAAATATGAAAGATTAAATGTAAATGTGCAAAAACAGAGTTGTAAATGGACAGTATTGACATAAGTTAAAGTGTATGAGTGTAGACATATTATAAGCAGAAACTATTCAATATAACGGCGAGTAGACAGACAAATGAAGTGAACATGAGTGCAGGGATAATTTGTAAATTTAACAAAATTTAACAACCTTAATACAAACGTGTACAAATGTAAACATTGTAGCCTGTTTTCAATTTGCGGAGTTAATATGACATTAATGATAACAACTTTGGCATCCATATGTGCACTTTTGTCTCTTATCAAGTTCACTCACATTTAATTAGCCTATAACCTCTATTAGCCTAACCTATAGTCTGTAACCTATAGCCTGTAACCTCAGGTGCAATAAGAGATAATAAGTGCAATAAGAAAACTTATTTATATTTTCATTTCATTGTACAGTGTTCCCCTTGTTATTTTATTTTGTATTATATTTTTGCTTTAATACAGTGTATAACTTCTGTAGTTTATTTTAAATCACTTAGCTGTTACTACAACTTTTTTACTTTTACATTTTTTATACTTTTCTACTCTTTTTTTTCTTCTTACAATGCTAGTCTATCTTATATATAATTTTAACTTTTTTTTTGCAGAAGCTGACTCAGGGAGAAACGCACAAGAATTCCAACATACCTGTACTGTCCTGTACCTGTGCAAATGGCACTAAACATCTATTCTATTCTATTCTATAAGCCTCCATGAAAATCCAGAGTAATAATAAATGTAAATAGAAATACACTAACTCAATTAAACCACTTTACGTGGTAGGCCTAATCAAAATGATAATAACACAGCAATACTTAGCCTATTACTGTTTGTAAAAGAAGATAAGATAAGATAAAACTTATTTGATCCCCCATTATGGGGACATTTTTTTGTTACAACAGCTCAAAAAACAGGAATAATAATAATAATTTATTTGCAGATACTGGTCTCAATCCGGCCTAACATATTTCAATAAAGTAATAGTTTTTAATCCAGTATTTACTCAACCAAGGCTATCAATTGATATTTTGGTTTCTAACTGAGATATTCTAAGTGTCTTCAATATCCTTGCACATAAATAATTATCCTACATAAATAAATTATCCTAATTGGGTTAATCCAACTTGGGAAATAAAAGACAAAAAGGAAAAGCAGCATATTGTAAATTATGAATAATTTCTACATGAATAATTGTATTTTTTTACTGGATTAGCTCTTATGTTTTTTGGTATATGATGTTTGACACTCCCTCCAGCATTCATCTTGTAGTGCATAGTTCTACTTTCAATTTTAGGGAGAAAAAAACTATGGCTTGATTAAGACTGACTACACAAAAGACAAAAAATGTATAGGGTCCGTAGGTGAAATGTAGAATGATACAGTTGGTGCCAAGACCATGCAGGACGCAATCAGCAATCATTCTTTGTCTGTCTGGTTCATGAATTTCTAGAATTATTATTATTTCCGTCTGTTTTTTTTTTAAGATATAGGGCAAAATTAGTAGAAAAGCCACGAATAGTGGTGAACAGTTTCAGGAATTTGCTACAAATGATTAATTAACTATATTGGTGTTACCATTGAAAATATAGTAGAATAACATATTTTAATCAGGGTAGAGCAGCAGTGTGCAGCGTTGCATCAGTGCTCTTTAAGGACACATCGAGTTTGCTGACTTTTCTACTTTCTGTAACTCTTTATGTGGTTATCATTCAGAAGTGTTTTTGTTGTTTGAATGTGCTCCTTTTTCTACAGTTTGAACCCCTAAACAACCCATTAATGAACACATGATTGAATGAAGAAATAATAAAAGAGAAAGAAAAAAAAAGAAAGTAGATCAGTGATACTATTAAACAATACAAATTCACAAATTCCTGAAACAAGCTGATTTGTTTTTGATCCTCACCCAGTGGCAGATGATTCCTGCTATAAAAGTGTTTTTCACTCTGTTTCTTGTATTTTTTTTACACCATACATTGGTTTTACAACAGAGTAGACTGTGTGTTTGTTGGAAAACCATAGAGCGTCATGATTAAAACAAACACAATTCACATCCGATACAGAATGTTTTGTGACAATACTTAATACTTCTGCTGAGCACAAGTCTAATATTCAAAAGGGTTAGCTATTGCAACCAGTTACCTAATCTTGACCTACTTGGACTTCTGTCATAAGTGACTGTGGGTCATAGTAGAATAGAGTGTGATTTTTTTTGTCTGTGCTCCTTGACCTGCAGATGTGTTATATTGTACAAAATAATTAAGTGCATTTGTAATTTAAGCTGTTGTGAGCCTGTTATAAAGTCAAGGTTTAAAGTACTGCAGGTTTCTTGCATTTTAAGTGGGGATGTTGAGCCTT